GAGAACCGCGTTGCACACGCCTTCATCAAGCAGGATCTGATGAAGAACCTGTGTCGCTGGTTTAGGTATATCGAGGAGGCGTATCCACAGAGTGTGGTTGTTGTTAGTGGAGGTCAGGGGAAGAAGGAGGATGGGAAGGCGAAGGGAAAGAAGGAGGGGGGCAAGAACGATGATGCGAATTATGATATTGGGTTGCAGGATGTGGGCGATGGGTCGGGGATTGTTACTAGGTTTCCGCCTGAGCCTTCGTAAGTCGCCCTCTCAACCATGCGAACCACTTCTAACTGTATCGCAGAGGCTACCTCCACATCGGTCACGCAAAAGCAGCGCTGCTCAACGACTATTTCGCGCACGAGAAGTACAAGGGCAAACTCATCCTACGTTTCGACGACACAAACCCCACAAAGGAGAAGCAAGAGTTCCAGGATGCTATCGTCGAGGACTGCGCGCTTCTCGGCATCAAGCCAGACCAGGTCTCTTACACCAGTGATTGGTTCGAGCAGCTATACGAGAGCTGTGTGCAGGCGATCAAGGACGGACTGGCATACGCAGACGATACAGTACAGGAGAAGATGCGCGACGAGCGCATGAACGGTATCGCTAGCGCTCGCCGTGATGCCAGCGTTGAGGACAACCTCGCGCACTTCGAGGAGATGAAGAAGGGCAACGAGGAGGGCCTGAAGTGGTGCATCCGCGCAAAGATGTCGGTTGACGACCCGAATAAAGCCATGCGCGACCCTGTCATCTACCGCTGCAACCCCCAGGCGCATCACCGCACCGGCGAGAAGTGGAAGATCTACCCTACCTACGACTTCTGCTGCCCCATCGTCGACTCGCTTGAGGGTGTCACCCACGCGCTACGCACGACCGAGTACAACGACCGCGACGCGCAGTACCAATGGTTCATCAAGAACCTCAAACTGCGCAAGGTGCACAACTGGGGTTTCGCGCGTCTAAACTTTGTCCGCACGGTGCTGTCCAAGCGTAAGCTCACCAAGATCGTTGATGCTGGTATCGTTGCGGGCTGGGATGACCCGCGCATGCCAACTGTCCGCGGTGTCCGTCGCCATGGTGCCGTCATCCCGGCTCTCCGCGAGTTCATTCTCAAGCAAGGTCCCTCCAAGAACATTGTCAACCAGGACTGGTTCGCCTTCTGGGCTACCAACAAAAAGCACATTGAGCCTACTGCTGCCCGTTACACTGCGATCGACGATTCTGGCCGTGTTCCTGTCACCATCATCGGCGCGCGCGAGGGCGTGATCTCCGAAGACAAGCCGAAACACGCCAAGTACGACCTCGGCAACAAGAAGATCGTCTTCAGCTCCTCCGTCATCATGGAGCAAGCCGACGCGCAGTCTTTCGCTCAAGACGAGGAGATCACACTGATGAACTGGGGTAACGCCATTGTGCGCAAGATCAGCCACTCCATCAACCCCCTCGAGATGGCCAAGCACGGCCTCAAGACCGTCACCGGCCTCGAGCTCGAACTGCACCTCCAGGGTGATGTCAAGAAGACGTCCAAGAAGGTCACTTGGTTGAGCAACGATCAAGATCTCATCCCTGTTGAGCTGGTCGACTACGACTACCTCATCACAAAGGATAAGCTGGAGCCTGATGACAACCTCGACGACTTCCTTAACAAGGAGACTGAGACGAGGACCAAGGCTATGGCTGACTGCAATGTTGCTGAGCTCAAGGTCGATGACATCGTACAGTTTGACCGCAAGGGCTTCTTCCGCATTGACCGCGCTTTTGCACATGGCGAGGCGGTCGTTGCGTTCCAGATTCCTACTGGTAAGAGCAAATAGATAATGCTCTTTGGGTTTTTACATCAGACATGCTGTGATAGTAAAGAACTGGTACCAGTGCAGTGCACTCTATCACATCCAGAATCAAGAAGGACTAGAGTCAAAGCTCTCATGTGCCACTTCCACTTCTCGATGCTTTGATTTACTAAATTTTCTTTTGGGCTGCCTCACATGCACAATCAAATGAGGAAGTTGAGTCCGTCCTGACATCTTCGTTCTAGTTGTGATTCGCTTCTGCTTCTTTCATGGCCAAATGAAGGCCACAGCTTCCATGTTGCCATGCATTCCAAACTAAAGCATTGCTCCTTCCCTCGTCAGAAATTTTCACCTTCACTTTCCACGCTCACTGTTCATCGTAACTCCTGCAGACTCTTCAAAATCTCCTCACCTTGCTGGCTCGAAGTTTCTTCTCCTTCTCTTCTACATCTTCATCGCCGCTACCTTCAAATTCACGGAGCATCTTCCATTCAGCATTACCCTCACGAAACAACACCAGAGGAGTTACCATGAGGTTCTCCGTTCCTGCTGTCTTCCTGGCAGCATGCAGCATGCTCACTGCTAGTGCCGCACCAGCGGTCGGGATGGGAGAAAGTGAGTAGTGCCATCCAACGCGACGAGAGCTCCTGCTAATGACCACAGCCACCGGTGTAGCACTCGGCGACGAGACCATCACCCTCAACCTAGGCCACAACGGCATTAACGTCGGCGACAGCAAGACCCTCTACCACGACGTCAACAAGGCCCTCGAAGAGCTCTGTTCCGAAAACTATTGCCTAGACAGGCCCGCTTCATTCTCCGTCTCGGTCGTAGAGTCCACCTCTCGCCCCCCGTACCAGAGGCGCCGCGTCAAGGCGACAATCAGCCTCACCGTCCTGATGGCCGACTGGGGCGGCCGCGTCGATGTTCGCAAGGTCTTGAGCAACACCATCGCCGCAGCATTCGAGCGCGGAACCTACGACCCGAAGAACTGCTACATGAACCGGATCAAGGGCGACAAGATTGAGCATTTTCGGGACTGTATGACGACGGACTATGCCGAGGTGCTTTTGTCGAACGGATATAATATGAACGTCTTGTTTGAGGGGCCGCATAGTACGGTGAAGGCGCTGAACTATGACTGTAAGAGGGAGGTTGATGATATGGACTCGTTCTTGAAGAACGACTTGCCGTGGAAGCCGAAGGATGCTGACGTCAATTGTATGCCGAAGTAGATGCGAGGGCGACATGTGATGGGATAGAGAGGGGTATGTAGGATAGAGACGAGGATTCACCCCGGAAAAGGCGAGGGGATGGTGGAATACAGGCGATCTCCTTGGATGTCCAATGGGTAAGGATGATCTTGCCTAAGACTTTCAGGGTTCTCATAGGATCTTGAAGTCATACTGTAGTATGAAGGTAGTAATGGAGCTTCACGTTCAAACAGCAAAGAGGTTGTTCATGGGTATCAGATTGATTCTTGTACTGTATCTAGATCTTTTCTAGGCTCGTGACTCTTGTCACGGCCACCACCCACCCACCCGACGACATCATGTCGTCATACACAAATCGTTATGAACAAGCCGCCAAACCACCGAAATTTTGTCTGGCAAGGCATCGTCAAGCCCAATATGCTTGAGCGTGATCATAGCTCTTCGAGCCGCAAGCCAAGTGTGGATTTACTTGGAGTTAGACCCACCGCCCTCCTTCCTCCCCTGCGTACCCTCCTTAGTAACCTCATCAGGCTCACCCTCCTGCAACTTCTTCTGCCTCTCCTCCTCACGCTTCCTCTCGTGCTCCCTAACCATGTCGGGCGGGCTATCCTCAATAAGGTCCGAGTCACCACTCAGTCCACTCCACTTGGGCAGACCATCTGGGATATCCATAACGCGCTGGCCGTAGAACATGTGGCAGCGGGGCTTGAAGTACGCCTTGTCCTCGTCGGTCTTGAGGTGCACAAGCGAGGGGAAGAGCAAAATCATGTTGCGGCCCTCGTCCATGATGGGCGAGTGGCAGTAGGAGCAGCGCACTTTGCAGGGTAGCTTGTGCTCGATGGATTTGTCGGTTGGGTCATACCATTCTAGGTCGTGGTGGCCGTTGGTGAAGTTGATGTCGTCTTTGTGGAAGATGGCGGCCCATTGGAAGGGTGCGGCTGAGGGGAGGATGTTAGTATGCATGCTGTGTGTGATGAAGTATGGGAGGCTTACCATGTTGTGTCTGGCAGGTGGTGCAATGGCACAGCTTGCTGTCTAGAGGCTCTCTTCGGCTGAGCTGGTACTGAACCTTTCCGCAATGGCAGTTGGCCTCGTACTTGACGTCAAAGTCCTCGTTCTTCTCGTGGACGCGGTAAGGGGGACGCTGCTTCCACTCAGACTTGCCGGTCGTCTCCTGACCGCGGCTCTGGTCCTTCTTAACCTGTTCCTTGTCCATTCTGAAGGCGGATTGAGAGAAAGCGGGATACTGTCGCGTGAGGTGTGAAGCAACTAGTCGGGCACGGGGTACAGCTCTTGAAGTCGTTAGAAGTGGTAGCCGACGGAATGCAATTGAAGCTGCGGACATGAATAGAGAATTGGAGGGGATGTGGTGGTGTTACGTGGGTGGTTTTGATGTTTGCTTGCCGTCATCATCGATGCTTTATTTGGGGAGGCGCGTTGATCTGACGTCACCATGACCACAATTCCGCTACGCGACAACGCGTGCTCTAGATTCCTTATCCCCATTGTGGGCATCGATCGTCAAAAAGAATACGCCCACGCGCCTTTCCGTCAGCGAAAACGCTCAGATATGGAGCCCAGATTTCGCCTTCCAATGCTATGCTTTTGCTACACAATCCCATTCGTCAATTCCTCTCCTAGTGTCCCACTCTCCCGCACTTCATCGCGATCGATCTTGCATCGCGGTTTGCTATGAGCCGTAGCCCATGACCCTGACATCGTTGGAAGCCGTGCATCTGGTGGTAGCCATCGTGTTTCGCCATGTTTGATCTACTAATGATGGGTTTTCAGCTACCGCATCCCCAAAAGCCGGTTGTAGCTGGCATTGCGCTAATGCACGGAGTGGTTCCGTGCCTAGTTCCACAAAGTTTCATCGCAAGTAGCTTAGGTTCCTTTCAGTAGCTTTTGAGCTTCTTTGCTGGACAGACCAAAGACATTAATTAGGTAGTCGAGTCTGCCGACGTTGTTAGTTAAAGCATTTTGGTCGATTAATCATCTTCACTCACTTGATGTCTCCTGCTATCCGCCTGCGCACAGCCTCGAACTCAACTTCAGCTTTGTCTCTTGTCGCATCCTGCCTCTTCGAATTAATCGTCTTGACACGCAGCTTGAATTTTCCGCTGACAGGACGGTGATCCGAGACTTTGATGGTGTCGTGTCGCCTGTATTCCAACTGCTTGATCCTACCCAAGCCGCGGTACAACAGCCGATCACACCATGCAGGTGATCGCTGCTTCTCAGAAGTATCGTAGTTGTCGGTCCCCACGTCATACTTGTAAGTCGGAGCAAAGTTGATCGGCATCTCAGTGAACGCCCGCAAACGGAAGCCAGGATTGCGCTTGCGGGACAGAAGCAGCTGATCACGTTCGAGAAGTTTCGCCAAGTTGCCTTGCTGCACAGCAGCAACAACAGTGTTGCGAGGCATCGCGTCGATGCGGTAATTCAGATCGCCGTTCAAGATACAGATCTCGTGATCCAGAATCATGGAACCATCACCACCTCCAACAAAGTAGTTTGCGCATGAAGTTGGGGAGCGGTTCTTTGGTAATGGTGCGTTCTCCATGATTGCGGCTGCGTCGTTGTTGCGATGTACTGTTTGGGTCTGACCAGCCGCAAGATGGCAGTTGATAAAGCACAGGGATGAATCGTCGATGAAGAAGCGCACAACTAGTGCACCCTTGTTGCCAACACGGCCGCTGAAGCCAAGCTTGATTTCAGCTGCGCATACGTCGCGGATGTTGGCCCGTTCCGAAGCCTTTACAAACACACAGGTGAACAGACCGACGAGGTTGGCCGTATGCAGAAGTACGTAGTTCTGTTTGGGACTGTACTCGTCCAGGACGCGAACAAGATGGTCTCGCCACGCTCGATATTGGTGTGACATGTGCTCGCTCTCTGATGTCTCTTTGTGCTTCTTTCTTTTGAAGATACTCTTGGCCGTGATCTTCTTGTCTTCCAGATCGACCAATTCCTGGAAGCCAAACACAAGGATATCAGGCGGATTCTCGGGTTCGAGTATTTCCCGGAAGAAGTTGCGATCTTGCTCGGTATTACGTATATTTGCGGGTTTGACTGCGCCGGCGTTCCATGTCATGACTCGCGCCGAGAGTTCTCTGAATTCGCAGTACTCCCCATCACGTTGTTGCATTAGATTTTCTGCAAATTGTCAGTATGGCACCACATAATACACACAGTACGACTTACCCAGCCAATCGTCCTTCATCATGCCATCCCAGACGCGCAGCATTGTGTCTGTGCCAAGGGACGCAACCTGGAACCTGTCGAGTTTCCAGATGCTCGTACGATCCGCCAAGATGCCCGCTATCGGCTTGTCGTGTGCCTTCCAATCCTTCAACACCTTCCAGGGTGTCGACTTGGTGTCGTACACGTATATCATTCCGGTACTGTAGCCAGCCCAAAGGACGTCACCAACACCGACCAGGGAACTGATCTTGTACACACTGACATTCACGATTCCAAGACATTCGAAGCTCTTCTTGGAGTATATTGTAACTTTCCCGTCTGCGTGTCCGAAGTACATGCGGTCGGGCTGACTGCTGATGATAGCACCGGAGGTTACGTCTCCGATATTGAGCTGAGATAACGAACCCTGGGTTAATTGCTGGAAATGGTTGTTATCCGACGTGCGGGCGTAGACGCGGATGTCTTTCGTTGTGGCTACCCATAATTGCGAGCCTGAGATGATAGAAAAGGTGCTTCCACGGGGGATACGGTAAGTAAGTGGAGTTTGCTGTAGGGACGGGCATCCAAACTCGTCAGCTGGCCAGATGTGTAGTACGCCGTCCTCGTCAAGAGACCACATTTCTGCAGCATAGCGGAAGATCTTAACGATGACACTCCTAGCGTGTGCGTTACTCTTAGTGTGCACTACACTTTGCGTGGGGATGTCAATCTCATGCATTTCGCCTGTGTTCGTTCCTAGCCATAATCGCTTGCCTTCATCTTCCACATCTTTCGCTGGTCTGAATGCAATCGCTGTGGCTTTGACTGTATCGCCATGAGCTAAGCTCATGAGCAGTCGCCCGTTCAGAACGTTCCATACATTCGTCACGTATCCGGTTGTACATATGTAATCGCCACAAATCGCAAAGAGCTTGGTCTCGTAGCCGGTGGGGATACCGGCTATACCGTCTGGGAACACTGGTGGTCTCCGGTTCGCTTGTGAGGAGTCTGGGTAGTCTGTTAAAGCAGTCGTCGGTTGCTTGTCTGCGCCCGTATCTTCTTCATCCGAGTCATAAGTATACGGCTGTGATAGCTGCGATGCCTGCGCAGTAATCGGCTGTGACGGTCTTCTCATTTCCCCCGAGTTCCGTGGAGGCGGTGGTTTCGGAGGTTCTAACGCTTTTCCGGGACTAGCGGATATGGCACCAGTTGTGTTGGTCCGCCGAGGGGGCGGCATGAACTTGTTGTTCGCTTCTTGCACCATTTGCCCAGGACGGGTTTGATCAAAAGATCGTCGGACTGGCAAATCAGGAGGAGGTGCTCTTTGTAGTTGTACACTCTTCCGCAGATCGAAATTGTCCTTCTCTCGTCGCGTAGGTAACGATGGGCGGTCTTCCGGCATGTCAGACGGTGATGGTGGCGGCATCGTTTTCGAGGCCTGCTTTCCTACTGGCCGGGGGTCCGCGAATGGGTGGTTCTCGGCGACTGCTTTAGATGCGGGAGCAGCTGCGAAGTAACCATTGTTGCCTCCAGTCATCTTTGGTTTCGAGAAGCCTGGGATGACTGGCGGAGAAGACTCGCCTTTCACGCTCTCTCCACTACTGCTAGGTGGTGTACTGAATGGAGAAATATCTGCAGTGTCTGATGTGGCTTCGGGCGCCAGGCCTGTACGAGCTGGTAAATCCACAGAAATCGACTTTGGTGGTATCTTTGGTTTACCCGCTCGGTTCACAGGCGGCGGTACGGGAGGCGCAGAGGATACCGGTCGATCACCCTTTCGCGGGTCATTGGCGGGGCCGTTGCCTGTGTGGGCTGGAAATGTAGGTTTCGCGTCCGTAGCGGGGGTGCCATTGCGACTGGGCATTTTGAAGAATCTCTTTCCGGCAGACACTGCTGAGGGCGAATCCAGCGCGGCGTGCTGGGCAGGTCGCTCGGGCTGCGGCGAGAGTATGGGAGAAGCGGAGGACTTGGGCGGTGATCTTGGTGACTGGACCGTAACCTTTGGTGGGGACCTTGTTGGTGACCTGGGCGGAGAAAAGGCCATCATCGACGTTGGTCTCTGCTTTGTATTGCCCCAGAGCGACCGTCCGAGGGTATTGGAGCGCGGCGTCACTGTCCCGCTCCCACTGTAGTCGGCCACACTGGGCGAGGGTCTCTCAGCATAGTCTCTGGGCATGTCCAAGGAAATGCGCCCATCCGTCCTCCTGTTGTCCTCGGGCATAGCAAGGCGATCATTGGGGCCGGGAGAGCGTTGTCGCGGAGTGGCAGGCGCGGCGGGTTTGTTTGTGCTGAGGAGGTTCTCGAACTGGGCGCGGAGGGAAGACACTGGCTTCTGTGCTGGGCGTCAGCAACATCTTCGTGCTGGGAAGGAGCTACTCACTATGGACGAGTCGTCCATGTTCTCCTCCTGCTGGTTGTCCATGATGATTGTTTTGTCGTCAGCCGGCACCGGGAGGTATCCTATAGCTGCGCATCGACCAGTGAGGTCTTCTTCCCATTTGGCGCTTCTTGTGAGGGTGGAAGGGGAGGCTGTCGCTCGCGGGCCGTCATGCAGCCAGCGCTACGGAGGCAGGATCCAGAAATAGCCTGTGCAGTAGTGTTTGTGGTAGTGGATACGGTGGCGGTGCGATGTGGTAGAGGCCCGAGTGACTGTAGGGCTCCCTAGCGGAGACGCGTATACTGCCTGCTAAGAATGTTCGGCGACAGGGAAGACCGGCGACAGCGCGGGGGTGCAGGTGTTTCGCAACTGTCGGAACGCAACGGCTATCGCGACTGCTCCCCGTGAGCGTGTACGGTCAGGTGACGTTCCGGTTTGCAGGCGATACCCGTGGACAGAGGCTCTTCAGGGCTGCGTTGGGCGCGGGCGGCTTGGAGCGGTGTTGTCGTGTCTGTCTACTGTCATTCCCCACAGCGCAGCAGCACGGAACCCTGCACACCACCAACGGCAAGGCGATCAGGCACCGGCGAATTATAGACGAGCATACAAAACGCCAAACTAGCCAGCCTGCAGCCGTCAGTCTGTACTCCCATAGCGCCGTAGTCCCCCTTCACCGACACCAGCCATGTGGTAAGCACGCGTTTCTTGTCGCCTCCGAGACTCCCCCGCCATGACCTCCGCGGCTGGCTGATGCCCATGTAGCAGACACATCCTCAACGCCCAGGTCTCCATCCGCTCGCCTTGCTGTACGTCGCCCGTGCCGAGATGTATGCGATGAATGCTGAGAAGGGATAGGCAAGAAATGGTTCGATTGCGCCGAGTGCCACCAGGAGCAGAGCGACCACCCGCTACAGCAGACGTTTGACATGGTCTTCATCTGCAAAAAGTGCAAAAAGGCCTTCCGCAAGGATGCGCGCGAATTCGAAGACGCGTAAGAATGGAATGTGTATTTTTCATGTGGCGCTGGCTGATGAGTGGTAGCGACGAGTACTGCCCGCACTGCGACAACCATTTCGTTCTAGAGGCCAAAACTCCCAAGGCCTCGCTGCAAGTCGAGGGCGAGGATGTGCGAAAGGACGCCAGGTAGGTCGCCTCCCTGGTCAGTGACGGAATATTGCTAACAATTCTGCAGGATGCTCAAGGACGAACGTGTACGAGCCGAAGAGATGCGCACCATATTCGATGTCAAGGAAGCACCGGACAAGTTGGGCTGAACCAGTGGGACACCGCGACATACAGTACTATGCGTAGCACAAGCTACAAACCCGTAGGGCGGGGGCCCTCACCCAAGAACATCACGCGACGAGCGAGGGGTTGGACGTGGAAAGACACTTCATGGTGTGCTAGATTGCCATTTATGAGCACTAGCTGGTCGTATCTGCGTTATACAGAATCATAAAGTCTATCACCCGACGCCACTGCTGTTCATGCCTTTTCGCCATCAGTCGTTAACCATGCCTCTATGCGCCACCAGATCCTGAGCCCTCAGCTGGGGTCTGGCGGGTGAGAATAGCGGCCTGGCCTGTACCGGGCTGCCGTCCAGGCCTCCTGTTGGCCGCCTCTTCCTGCTTCTCTGTGTTGATGTTCTCCACGTACTTCTCAATATCCTCAACGGGCAACATCTCGATGGGCTTTCCGGGTGCCATGATGGCAATCTCGATGTTCTTCGCGCCAGTCTGCACCACCTCCAATAGTGACTTGACCGTCAACTTGATTGTCTCTTCCCGGTCCATCCCTTCCTTGTGGTTACGTTCGAGGAACTCGCGGACTGTCTTGCTCGATCGGCCAATCGCATTTGCTTTCCTGGGTAATATTAGCACAGAGAAGTGTAACTTTGTGTATGCAACCTACCATGCTGAGTAGATACCAGAAGGCTCGGTCTGGTACAAGCGCGGGGTCTTGTCATTAGGGTCGAAGCCGACTATCAGTGTGCTGATGCCGAATGGTCGGACACCACCACTCTGAGTGTACCTCTGCTGCACGCCTGCAACGTACTTAGTGATGTACTCTATCGATACCGGGTCTTCGACTGTGAGGCGATGTGATTGTGCTTCGAGGCGGGCCTTGTCGACAAGGATACGGGCGTCGGCGTTCAGTCCAGCGAAGGCGAGGGCAACGTGGGTGTCGACGAGGCAGATCTTGGAGGGTGTAATGCGGGTATCTTGCAGCTTCATTGCGGATCGCTTCTCGCAGCCGAGTACTACTATGTCCGAGCCCTTGACACCAACGGCGCATGTTCCTGGGGCGAATGAGCATCTGACTTTCGCTTTCTTCTTCGTGTACTACGCACCTCGCTTGACTGCTTCGAGCGCATATTCGACCTGAAAGACGTGACCGTCAGGACTGAAGACTGGCGGAGTTAGCTAGGCCCGCATCTCCATGTGTTGGTTGTTTGTACCGGAGAGAGCTCGATCGTAGCCGGACGCCATTGTGAAAGTGGATGTATGGTAATCTGTAGGCTCCTCGTTGTTTGCTTGTATACGGCGACGATAGCTAAGAAAAAGCGGCTGGCGAAGAGGTACGGCTGTCGTCAAGTTGCTCGCGGAGCTCCAGAGCTGTCCGCGTCGCTGCTCCCGCCTAAACTACGCCAAGGCGTCTGGCCCGTGCTTACCCTGTCGAATTAGGTCATCATGGTAGATATTCGTGAAGGCGACTTGATTATTTCCGCCGCCCGTCGCATTTCTTCTCCGGTCAATTGGGATGGCATCTTCAGCGCGCTTGGTCTCGTCACTGCGACGAACTGCACTCTCTTCTCGCGCCGCATCACGCTATCAATATTTGCGACCAACAAGTCAAGTACGATGGACGGGTAGTACGTCAGCGACTTCGGAGCCTCACCAACCAGACGAAAATGGCGGAGTGAAAGGCCCGACCGCGTCGTCAAAATCCATCAAGTTCACTTCCGAGTCGTATGTGTTGAGGTTTGGATTTTTGGAGGGGTTTGCTAACGCTACGTAGATACCCGCATCTTCAAAGAGACTCCAAATTCGCCAAAGTCAGCGAGGAGCATGTAAAATATTTTCGAGAGCTTCTAGGTTCCGATTCGGCCATCATAGATGGCGTGTCGAAAGATGCATCCGATGATATTGAAGCCTTCAACAGCGACTGGATGCGCAAGTTCCGTGGCCACACCAAACTAGTCTTGAAGCCCAGTTCTACGGAAGAAGTCAGCAAGATCCTCAAATACTGCAATGACAACATGCTCGCCGTAGTACCTCAGGGCGGTAACACTGGACTTGTCGGTGGCTCTGTGCCTGTGTTTGACGAGATTGTGATCAACATGCAGAGGATGAACGAAATCAGGTCCTTTGATGAAGTATCCGGTATCCTCGTCGCTGATGCTGGTGTGATCTTAGAGAACGCCGACAACTTCCTCGCCGAAAAGAATCATATCTTCCCATTGGATCTCGGCGCTAAGGGCTCTGCCTACATTGGTGGCAATGTCGCGACAAATGCCGGTGGTCTCCGTCTCTTGCGGTACGGTAGCTTCCACGGAAACGTCCTAGGCATTGAGGCAGTCCTACCGGATGGTACCATTGTAGATGACCTTTCCACGCTCCGGAAAAACAACACTGGTTACGACCTGAAGCAACTGTTCATCGGCGGAGAAGGCACTATCGGCATCATCACCAAGGTCTCAATTATCTGCCCGAGAAGGTCACCCGCCGTCAACGTCGCGTACTTCGGATTGGAAAGTTACGAGCAGGTCCAGAAGGCGTACATCGAGGCGAAAGGGCACTTATCTGAGATTCTATCAGCCTTTGAGCTGATGGACGGTCGCACACAAAAGCTGGTCAACAGGGTCACCGGTAAAAAGATGCCCCTAGAGGGCGAGCATCCATTTTACTGCCTGATTGAGACCAGCGGCTCTAACGCCGAACATGACGGCGAGGTAAGCAAACTCATGGCACGAACGAGACCGGCTACTAACTTGTCTAGAAATTGCAAGCATTCCTTGAACATGTGATGGAAACTGAAGTCGTCTCCGATGGTGTTCTCGCCGAAAACCAAACTCAGATTCAGGAGCTCTGGTCATGGCGCGAAGGCATCACCGAGTGCCTTGGTCACGATGGAGGTGTCTACAAGTACGACTTGTCGATACCCATCGCTGAGCTCTATGATCTGGTCAACGAGACCCGCGATCGCTTGACAGAGGCTGGCCTGCTTGGCAACGACTCCTCGCACCCCGTAGTTGACGTCGTTGGATACGGTCACATGGGCGATGCCAACTTGCACCTCAACATCCCAGTCAGGAAGTTTGACAAGGCTGTAGAGAAGAAGCTCGAGCCATTTGTTTACGAGTGGGTACAAAGGCGTAATGGCAGCATCAGTGCCGAGCATGGCTTGGGAGTGACGAAGAAGCCATATATTGGATACAGTAAGAGTGAAACCATGATCAAGCTGATGAAGCAAATCAAGGATCTATACGACCCCGTAAGTGGCTGCTCGAGCTCGATCCGTTTTCATCATGTGCTGACTTTGACAGAACGGCATCATGAACCCGTACAAGTACATATAGACAGACACTGCAGCACATCCAGTAGACTATTCATATACACATCTTTACCACTTTTTCACATCTTGCTCTTCCCTTTTTGCAGCAGCTTAACCGCATTACCCTGATAGATCGCATCTCTCTCCTTCTCTCCAAACAAACTCTCCAACCCATGCTTCATCCTCTCTGCAAACGCCTTCACAAACTGCGTCTGTGTAAAAGGAAAATCGCTCCCATATAACAACTTCTCATACGAGATCTCGAACCCCTCAACAAACGCCTTCAACTGCCCCTGTCCTCCACTCTCTCCATCAAACACAAACCCCGCGAGATCAAAGTAAAACTGCGTATCGAGCTGCTTCCGCACCGTCGAAGCATTCAACACCCTCCCGCCCGGCACCACGCTGGAGAACTGGATGAACCGCGTCATGAGCGGCGGTAACGCACCGCCAGAATGAGGAATGATGAACTTGATGTTCGGACACCGATCCACCGTACCCGTGCTAAAGAGATTGATAACCGCCCTCGCAGTATCGAAGAAGAATTCGAATATCGGAACGGGGTATTGTTCGCCAAATGGAAGGGCGTCTGTCGTCTGAACCGGTTCACCAGAACTCCTAACGCAAGCTTTAGTCGGATGAATGAAAACCGTCGCACCAATCTCGTTCAACTTGTCAAACACCGCGTCCATCGCTCCATCTCCCAAATAAACCCCATGGTAATTCGTGAGCAGGCCAAAGCCCTCAACGCCTTCCTCGACGCACTTCCCTATCTCCGTCAAACTCGCGTCGACATCCGGCAACGGCAGTGCAGCCCATACACCAAATTTCTCGGGATGTTGCTGCTTGAGAGATGAGGCATAGGCGTTGCATTGCCGTGTTAGATCGATTGCTAATCCCGGATTGCGCAGGTTTATATTGGTCCCTGGGCTGGAGATGGAGAGGATGGATTTGGAGACGTTGGCTGTTTCCATCATTTCAAGGTGTTGGGGTGGAGACCAGGAAGGGATCGCGGGCATGCCGTCGGGATGGGAGTGCCCGTTTTCGGCGAGGGCGGTGCGGTAGAAGGGTGGGAGGAAGTGCGAGTGGACGTCTATTCGTTGGGGGAGGGGGTGTGTCATGTTGGCTGGGGGTTGTTGTGATAGCGCTGTGGTTGTGTGTGCTAAGAGGATGATTAGGCTGGGAATGGATGGGATCATTGTGGTGGTACCTTTCTGAGATGGAAGTGATGGAAAGATTAGATCAGGTATATTTAGAGCGAGTCGATTTGTGTGCCTACTGGGCTTTTCGCTCTTGTCAGAAGTAACGAATGCCATGCTTACTTATGCGATGCAATGCGCGGCTCCTGCATCAAGTGATCCATTGACATCCGGCACCCCGCTCCGATGGTTACACTTACAGAGCGAGAGCACGTTGGTCATCGTGCAACTCTTTCAGTGAGGACCTGTAGATGGGCACTGCGCCTCTATTATGTGTGATCATTTTGCGCCCACAAGCTGGTCCAGCAATTGCCATCTTGGGGACTGGATGGCTACTGCTTTCGGACGAGACTTTCCGTTCCAACGCAGGATGTAGTAATCAACAACGTGATAGCAGCTGCTCTTAGTATTCGATTTGAGACTACATGAATTTCACCGCACGATCCATGGATAGTTAACCCATTGAACTATCGCGTCAGAGCTTCTGAATGTTCAGTGTGGCACGCATGCGCCGATAAAGGATAATGATCCTGGCCGTCGATCGCGTGCCCCACCCGCGCCTTCCAGATGAGCGGCGGGTCAACTTTTTGTTTCCATCACTCGTAGCCATGACACAACGTCGTCCGCCACATCACCTTTCCCTCTACCCTCAGTCGCGCCTTCACGATGGAGCGGATTACGGATAAGATCAATGCGCTGCCCGATGGCGCCAACTACTTCTCGCTCGAGTTCTTCCCGCCCAAGACGGCCATGGTGAGTTTGCCCCGCTCGCACGCGACGAATGTGGAGGGTCGCAGTATAGATGGGGAAAGAACACCGCGAAAGAAGAATTGGTCGCTGATGACTCTCTAGGGATTTGCGAACCTCCAAACACGTTTAGAGCGCATGTCGCAGGCTCTCCGACCACTCTTCGTCACCGTCACCTGGGGTGCCGGCGGATCAACAGCCACCAAGTCGCTCGAACTCGCAGAGATATGCCAGCGCCAATTGGGTCTCACAACATGTCTACATCTGACATGCACAAATATGAACCGCCAGCTCATCGACGACGCGCTCGAACAGGCAAAGGTGTTGGGCATACGGAACATCCTGGCGCTGAGGGGTGACGCGCCACGGAGCGACGAGTACAGGGACGAGGGAACACCGCCGGAACAAGACTCAAACAAGGACTTCACCTGGGCGATTGACCTGGTCAAATACATCCGGAAAGAGTACGGCGACTACTTCTGCATTGGTGTCGCTGCGTATCCAGAGGGCCACTCGGATCAGAGCCATCCCAAAGACCAAGATCCGATGCACGATCTGCCATACCTGATTGAGAAGACCAAGGCTGGCGCAGATTTCATCATGACCCAGCTCTTCTACGATGTTGAGGCGTACGACAAGTTCGAGAAGATGCTGAGGGAGCACGAGAGCGGAGTGTTCAAGACGATACCGATCATACCGGGGCTGATGCCAATACAATCCTACAAGATCTTGCTCAGGACGACGAAACTATCGCATGCGAAGCTACCATCGGATATGCTGAAGCGACTGGACGCGGTAAAGAGCGACGATGAGATGGTGAAGCAAGTCGGCGTCAAGATTATGGACGAAATGGTGGAACACATCAAGGCGCGGCCGGATACTTGCAGGAGAGGTTTCCATTTCTATACACTGAACTTGGAAAAGGCGGTGTCGCATATCGTGGAAGACACGCACCTCATACCATCCACTATCGAAGACGACGACGATGTCATTGTCGAGACCACTCCCGCCATCAACCTTGAGCCACCACCGAACGGCATGGTGCCGCGCAGGCGACGATCATCTGCTGTTAACTCTGGCCCGCACAACAGAGTAATAATATCACACCCGTCCGCGGCCAAGTCAAGCAATCACTCGTACGAAGCTACGGAGGAGGAAGCTGGTGTACCGAGGGGTCCGATCAACACCCGGGCGAACACACTGGCAATCTCAGAGGGCGAAGGCTCATTGGGTCGCGAAGCCACTTGGGACGATTTCCCTAACGGTCGTTGGGGTGATGCACGTTCGCCTGCCTTCGGTGAAATTGATGGCTACGGTCCAACCCTCCACGTCTCGACGCCGCAAGCTCTCAAGCTCTGGGGCCACCCAGTCGAGAAGGATGACATCTCAAAACTCTTCCGCCGCCACATCGAAGGAGACCTCGAGGCCATACCATGGAGCGAACAAAGTCTGTCTCCCGAGACCCTGACCATCAGCAAGCAACTGCTCGCCCTCAACGCAAAGGGCTGGTGGACAGTTGCCTCGCAACCTGCCGTCAATGGAGTCAAATCTACCGATTCCGTCTTCGGCTGGGGCCCTAAGAACGGCTACGTCTTCCAAAAACCTTTTGTCGAGTTCTTCATCCCCGCCTCCGAATTCGCCATTCTCAAACCTAAGCTTGATGCCCATGAGCAAGTCACTTACTTCGCTGGTAACGCCGCCGGAGAGTTTGAAGCTAGTCAAGAAGATGGAGTAAACCCTGTTACTTGGGGTACATTTGCTGGCAAAGAGATTGTTACGCCTACTATCATTGAGGCTGTCAGTTTCAGGAGTTGGCTTGACGAGGCGTTTAGCATCTTCAGGGAGTGGCAGAGGATTTACCCGCCGAGGAGTGCGAGTAGTACACTACTTGGAAAACTGAGGCAAGATTATTGGCTTGTCAATGTTATTTGGGGTGATTTTGTCAATGGAGAGGGGTTGTGGGAGTTTTTGGAACAGTAGCTTGTATTGTAGATGTACGTATGGGAACCTTTTGAAGCCTAGGTAACGTGAGCACATTTCAGTCTTTCCATTTGCCGTTCTTTCCCTCTTCAGATCCCTGATAGTGCTTAGCGACACCAGCCCTCAGAGGTCTGCATGCACCAGGGCGGCGTAGTTACGCGCCCGCCAATCGTTCCTTCATGCGTCGAAATATGCAAGGCTGCAACGCCACTTCCCTGACATGGAGGTAAACCTGCACTGGGAGAGAAGCATCCCGACCCCGCTTTGCAAGGCTTCATCAACACGTGTCTATCCACCCCGTTCTACTTTTCTTCCCAAGGTCATCCCGCACTACTACACTACTTCGGTTGCCACCAACCTCGCTTTTATTGCGGCACCAAGCAATGTCTTATAACAACTCCTCAAACTCAAACTCTCTTCGAGTTCCAACCGCTCGCAAAGCCAAATTGCAATGGAGGGAAAGCAATTCGCGACCTAAATCCCCGCAACCGCCAGTCGCTGGCAGAATAATAAAGCCCAGATGGAAGGGGCCCGTTTCGCGACATAAGTCCCCGCACTCACGGCCACACGATTCGGACTCGGACGACACTCACATAGGAGCCGATGAAGGTCTGGGACGCTTAACGTTGGAGTCCAATGACGACGACGAAATGGAAGATGACGATAATAACGACGACGAAAAGCCGAGCCTACAACCAGCCGCCGTCGCTTGGAACCGCATGTCCAATGGTCAATCTCATGTCGAGTGGGGACGCGAAGATGTACGTCCGTTCTCTATAGGCCAGAGACTGGGTAAAGGCGGTGTCGGAGTCGTTCATGAGACACACATTGGTGGTGTGTCAGTGGCCTTGAAACTCACCTCCACGCGTCGAATGGATCCTCAGATCCTAAACGAGATCAAGATCCTCGGTCGAATGTCACAGAATCGCCACCGTCACGTTGTGGAACTAATTGGGTCTTACGTGCAGAAGCAGCAAAGAGGTGGCTATGAGATTGGCATGTTGATCTGGCCGGTCGCTCACACAGATCTTGCGGCGCTACTTCACGATGTCAACGTTCTATGGCAATACTACTGCGATGATTTGGTCGACAGTGAAGG